ATTGCATACGTAGAGTCTTTATCACACCAACCAGATGCTTTAGACAACATACCTGATATGTTCAAAGAACATCAATTCAACAACAGATATGAGTAGATGAACGATTCTACAGTAAGATACTGGATAGACAAAGTCAGTAGCAAGATGAAACCCAGAAAACATGATGTACCGTCCGTCGTCACCATTCCATAATATGCTGTAAAGTAATTTTGATAAGCTGAAGATCAAGCGTGGTATATTATACAGAACAACTACTGACAACGACACTACCAAAGATCAACTTGTACTGCCAGCGTCTCAGATCTCAACAGTACTCAAATCACTGCACAACAATATGGGACATCAGGCAAGAGACAGGACGACATCATTAGTCAAAGATCGCTTCTTCTGGTATGGTATGACTAGAGATATTGAGCAGTGGATCGAGAATGTCCAAGATGTATATGGCATAAAACTCCAACCAACGACAGAGCTCCATTGACCAGCATCAGAACTACTCAACCTCGAGATCGTCTGTATGGACTTTCTGAAGTTAGAAGTTTCCAAGGGCGGATACCAGTACGTATTGGTGATAATTTTACCCGATACGCACAGGCCATTCCAACGAAGACCATGACAGCCCGAACAACTGCTGAATCTTTCTTCAAGAACTATGTAGTACATTATGGACTTCTAGAAAGAATACACAGCTACCAAGGTGCTAGCTTTGAGAGACGCCTTGTCAAAGAGTTATGCGATATTACTGGCATCAAGAAGTCACGTACAAGGCTATATCACCCACAAGGCAACGAACAATGTGAGAGATTCAACAGGACACTCATCAACATGCTTGGAACTCTAGATCTGGAGAAAGAAAAGATACAAAACTGGAAGTCTAACATTGGTCCTTTTGTCCATGCCTACAACTCGACCAAGCATGACACTACAGGCTTCACACCATTCCAGCTGATGTTTGGTCGACAGCCGGTAGATTTAGCTTTCAGTTATGGATCTATGACGTCACATTGACATTTGCGTTAATATTGCCATATATGGTTATTTTGTGTAATAGCTTGATTTCTTTATATCAGTCTTTAATATGTTTGTATAAGGGATCATTGTTTTCCTAGATCCTAGTATTTATTATTGAGTATTTTCAGGACACATAGAATATGATGTTTCTTTTACTACCAAAATGAAACATACTGGTTGTACTGTAGATGTTAGATATATATAACCTGATTCCAGATTGGTAAGGGTCATATTATATTGTACCTATATGTCAGTTAATTTGAGTTCGATCATAGATACTAAACATTACAATAGTGCATACGAACATAATAGAATACTATAGTGAATAAATAGTAACCTTTGTATGATAAAGTATTTATTATTGTTACTCTTTTATGATATATTCGGCTTGTTTACAATACGCTTGGTTGATTATAGTGATATACTATTTGATACGACTTATCAAATGCATGTATTTGTATTTAGTAATATATAATTGCAAGTTCATTGCATATTATGAATGTCACTGCATTCTTGATACTCAGTATAGTTTATTGTATATGGAATAGAACATTACATACGATCTTGTAACATTGTTATTTACATCAGTAGTTGTATTATGCTAGTGTAAGACTTTAATAAGACTGTGGTATTAATAAATGTTATAATTATATGCTATTGTTATTGCAGGGTTAATTTCCCTACGTTTTCTTGTTTAATAAAATGATATTAAAGAACCCTAGACTTGTCGTTTATGGAATCCCCGTAAAACAAGACTATTATAATCAAACAGGTATATAGGTCAAGATCTGCATTTTAGTGCCGAATAATTTCCTGCATCAACATTATCTTTAGGAATACTGATTTTTTTCAAAGATTTTTACAACGGTATTTATTATTTTGAGAGACTGCGGGTTACAAACATTTACTACAAAAGTAATCAAATGTTAATCATAAACTATAATATTAATTACGTCATTCTGCATCAACATTATATTTTCAAAATCAATAATTGCCAAATATCTTTACAACTGTATGTAAAGGTTAATAAAAGCCTCAAAATAATATTGTCTTCGTATTTAAAAACCATTATTTGCAATGTCTCACAAAAGACCTTGGAATAAACAGCACAACTGGTAATGTTACATATTCTTTAACATCATTTACAAAGGATGAAATTTTACAAAATCACAAATCTGTCCTTCTTTCTTTTAATATTCACATCAAAGAAAACGAAGAAAATCTACCGTCATACTGGATACCAAAACTTCGCAATACTCCGCATAAAGAACCATACATAGCTAATTCATCAAGATGATCGACTAAACATCTTTCTAAAGTGCTGACTACTATTCTTTCTACAGAAACGATTGCCTTCAAAATATTGCGATGAGATATATTCAACCAGTGGTGTCAATCAGATGTGGATTTTCAAAAATTCTAAAGATCTACTGCAATCTATTCACAATCTCTACAATTTTGCAACAAAATTAAGACCTTTGATTTTTCTATGCTTTAGACTACTATTTCCCATGCTCAATTGAAAGATCGAGTTCACCATCTCATTCAACAGAGATTTTTCTATGAAAATGGAAATCGTAGATATAAACGTCTTGTTTTTGGGTTATAATAATTCTAATTTTGTGAAGAACCACACTGATTTTATCAGAATTTTAACAGACAGCCGGTATTCCAATAGGTACTTATTGTGCACCCCTTCTGGCCGAGTTATTTTTGTACTAGTTTGATGCAGAATTCATTCTGAACCTTCTAAAAGACAAAAAGAAAAAGCACCTTGCGAAATTCTTTAATTTTACTTTCAGATATATTGATGAAGTCGTATCACTGAATAACCCATATTTCAGTCAGTAATTGCATCTCATATATCCCAGTGAACTTGAAATTAAGGATACTACTGATGCTAAAAGGACTGCTTCATACCTTGATCTTTTCCTCAATTTTGACACAGATGGACGACTTCACACTTAACTCTATGACAAACGGGATGATTTCAACTTCCCTATTATCAATTTCCCATTTCTCAGCAGTAACATACCCTCTGCTCCGTCGTATGGTATTTCCATATCTCAATTGATACGTTATGCTCGTTTATGTTCACACTATACGGACGTCATATACAGGAGTGTGTTCCTTACGCAGAAACTGCTCCAACAGAGATATGAGGAGGAAAGATTAAAAATGACACTCCGTAAATTTTATGGACACCTTCACGAATTGGTTGATCTATACGATTTATCTGTGTCTAAATTAACGAGCGACATTTTTACCACGTCTCAGATTTTGGTTTAACATCTATGTCGTCTGTCTGCTAAGTACCGCATGTGACCTATTTCCGAATATGACTGTTTTGCCGAGTGTGAATTTACATTGCTATACGACGTGTCTAGGTATTTATATATCCAACATTTATGTATTTAGTTATCACGTTTCTTTTGTGGGTTCGGTTGGATATTGTGTTATTTCTTATCATGGATAAAGTATTGTGTTAGTCCAAATTATTATGACGTCGTCACAGCATTAATTTAAAATCGCCTTTCAATACCGTCATAATCATGATTATTTTTTGGACTAGAATTATGAAAATAATTTTTAATTTTTGGATCTCATTCCAACTAATTGTATGAATTTTAAGATTATATACACGTCACAAAATTACGTCACTGTTTGTGCTGTCTTTAATGGAAGATGTCAGTTGTTATTCTGCGGTTTACATGCTACTAATGTATGTACTATTATATTATTTATTTATGCATTTCTCTGTGCTGAGTGTTCTTGTGTTTATGTGTACTGTATTCCTGTCACGTAGTGTTGTCATTTTAGCGATATTTTTTAACATTGCCATATAAGCGGGAGGTTTGGTTAGCCATAAAACCAGGTTCAACCTACCATTTTTTTCTTAAAATGATCTGTTCCAAAAATATGGCAGTTGTTATCAAATAGTCCGTTTCTATGTATGTTGGCGTTTGTTTTTGTTGCACTTCTGCGTTTCTGTTGTTCAGTTGTTTTCCTCTTAAAGTTGATGTGTTTCCCTGGGTTTTAGTTTGTAACCTGGATTTGTTTTCTCTCAATCGATTTATGACTTTTGAACAGCGGTATACTACTGTTGCCTTTATTTAGTATAATATTTACACCACAGACTATGCTGTGAACTGGTTATGCTATATTTGAAGATTTGTATACGCCATTCATATAATTATGTAAAATATTTCATCAAACGTTTGTGTCTGTGACATCTATTAACATTGTAATAATGTATATACTATAAGTTGAATTGCTTTATATAAAAGAATTTATTCGTTTGTCTTTTTAACCTTACAATCATACAACTACTCTTCATTCTGATACAAAAACTGATTGAAAAGGGTATTCAATTTTGTTTCATACAAATATTGGTCACGGAATATTCAAATATTAAGTTTTAAAGAAGACAAAAAACGTTGTGATTCAAATAAAAAGGTCTTAGCCTCTGGATGCTTGATAACTTTGATAGACACAATTATCTATTTAACGTTTTGTTAAATTTAAAAAGAAAAAAAGTTTTATTCTAAGTTTTAAAAAAATGCAACTGGCTGAAAACAAATTATTTGGAATGACACAAAATAGTTTTTTCGCCATGCAATGTTTATAAATTAAACTTTCTCGTACCACTAGGGGGTGTTTAGCCTAGACTATATATAGCTACCAATAAGGGTCTCGCACGGCCGACCAAAAACATCATATCCATGAAACATAATTATTATTTATCTACTAATAAACCCTCACCATATTGCTGCAACATACCACAAAACGTCAAAATAAGTCATAAAAGAAGAATGACGTAAAAGTCATCGCAAAAAAAAAGGGAAACTTTTAACATGGCATCTGACCTCTGTCCAAAATGTCGACCATGATCTTGTAGTGATATACTGAAATACAATAGCGTTTAAATAACTGATATAACAGTATGTGAAATGAGACACAAAAGATTCTGACAAAGACGTACCTAAATTTCTTTAAATAACCTTATCGATTGAACAGTGTGTTTTTTGACTCGTCAGTAGAGTAAGTATACAGCTGAAGTTTTTAAGGTATGTAGATCATTTTGTTCAAATATGAAGTGACAGTTGATATTAAAAAAATGTTTTCAAAATACTTATATTTCATACATCAAATACTATAAATACAGATGCGAAAGCTGTAAGAAGAATGATAATACACCTTTATATGTACCAATAAATATATATTCCAACACTGCAATAAGTGTGTTACAATATTTCTCCACTCGAGACAGTTAAATTTTGATATCTAAAGCGCGAGGCTGGCCGAGCTTTTTATATATTTAAAATTTAATTGTTGAGAGTGGAGAAATATCGTAATACACGAGTTATAGTGGCGGAATCTGTTTCTCTAATAATTTTTAATCCTTCATTTCCAAATGTTTACATAAAGTTGTGTTCTTTATATGTGACGTTATCAGGCATGGTCGCCTTTTTTCATGACGTTACAATTAAAAAATTCAGACGAAACCCGGAAAATTTGACGTCATGATTAAATGTCGATCAATCATTTGCCGGGAAATATTTTGCTCACACCGATCCAGAAATGTGAAAGTAATATGAAAATTAGAGAATTGTATTAAGATTATTTCCATCGGTTGAAGAATGAAAACATATTATACCGAAAGTCAAATATTTTTAAAACATATTATATAGAAGGACTCCACTTAAAAAATCAGATATTTAAACAAAAAGACTGTTGTTTTAGGGATAAGATACATAACGTTTCTGTTGTTTTGAATTCTTAAAACTACAATTTTAAAGTGTAATTATTATGAAATAATTATGGACCAGGTTTAAGGAGCAAAGTTTCGACAAAGTAATATAAATTGTTTTTCCTTTTTTTTTAATCTGACGAAAGTTTGAGTCATTGAGTTCATAAGTATTCCTTCAGGGGTATTGTGCAACACATAATAGTATAATACCTTTAAAAATAATTGTTCGATATTTAAATTTACACTGCTAAAATTCACAATAACAATACTAAAGATATAATCTTGTTATTAATACAAGAAGTTAGATTATTTGAATAGTTAGTTGGAAAAACATATATTTTAAATGTATGGGAAGAATTGAAGTTCAAATTGATTAAAAGATAAAGTATAAAAAACATGATTATAAAAATATCTAAAAAGTGCAAATGCAATATTTGTTTTTTACAATAATATAATAAAATATTTAGGGGTTGCTTATCATAAAATATGTAAGAAATTTGATAATAGACATATTGACACTGACGAATGTTTTTTGTTCAGCCGAAATATTTGTCAACACGATTGTATAACATCCTCTTGATATACGAACATCTTATATAACATGTATAAGTATCGTCGCGCAAATATTTTGCAAGTGACTCACAATAATTGTTAAGACGCGGCAGAATTTTAAAGCTCTAAATATTGTCTAGACTCATTTATGTTTTTATTCACATCTCATGTCGTTGAATATGTCTCGAATTGACATTTACCCGACAATAAATCATTTTAACCCTATCCTTAAACATATGGCTCATTTATGACGATTTTATATTTCATTTGACATTTGTGACAAAATTTCCTTTTGGATAAGACCACACATTTGGCTCATGTTTGGTTACAAATTGGAGTCTCTAAAAATAGTGTAATTTGAACAGTAAGCAGTGTTTGCATTTTTTTTTTCTAAAATGCAAGAGGTTCAAAGATAAAAAAAAAAATTATATGTTCGTGGAGACTGAAATGTGATATAATGAAAATCTGACTGGCTAATGTGTTGCGAACATGAATTGGCATTGCTTGAACGTGTCACATTCATCAATAGGGCACAATCTCTAAATGTAGAGATAAGACGAATATTCTGGTATCAAAAGATCTATTTATGACCTTGAACACATGTCGTTAGTGAATTTACCAACAAACACATCGTATCCGATACCGACTTCAGTTTGCAAACATTAAAATGGGCATTGTCGTACTTTCATTTGCCTATACAATTTTATTAGATCACTCTGTAAATAATTAGTTAATTACATAACACAATCTCGTGTTTCAGGCCACTCTATGAATGTACATTTATTATTATAGATTTGTTGTCACCATAAGCTGTTTTCTGGTGCAAATGTTAACATGAGCATCCTGTCAGTATAGAAAATAGTTCCCATTCAACTTGAGACTTTGAATCATCGAATTTTATATAATAAGATATGATTCCTATGGCCAATGTTATTACGGGAGACCTCTAAAATATGAAGGTGGTGTGTTCTCCAGCAGGGACAAGAATACTTGATATTTTAATACATTATGTAGTTATTACCGAACATGAGTGTTTGTGGAGTTAGACTGTTTATAAGTTCCAGTAACATTTTAACGCCGGTATTTTACACGGGCAGTTGTTACAACACTGTAGTGATGGTTTGTTGTTCATAATAGTATAAACATTCGAGTAAACTCAACTAATAAATACAATAGAGTCCGATAGTGAACTTTGAAAAATGGCATTGACAAAATAAATCCCTTTTAATACGCAAGCTTATGTATTCGTCACAGAATACTAATTCTCCGTTTGATTCATCTTCAAGTCTAAACCTCCTAATTGCACCTGTGCTTGTTCCCAATTAATATATAATCCAGCATGCCACGTTATATTACTGGTGACACAAACATTGTAAATACCTCTTCCTTGTGAAATGTGTTATCCAAAGGCCCGAAATATCGTGAGCCTAAATCCATCAATTGAAACACAACTTCAAAATAATGATGGCTTCAGTCGAGAATTATGCCAGGTAATGAGTTAACGCGAGAAAGAAGACGTAGGTACTCTTTCCGAATAAATAAAGGCTGTTAGGTCGTTGATACAAATCAGAATTATAAAACTAATTGGGTTTATAAATACCCATACTACATCAATCTATAAAAAATCTTAATGTTGCAAAACACCTGTCCTACCTTCATTACAAATATGTTGTTGTCCCCGCAGACTAAAGCCCCAAACATCATCGTTTGTGTATGTAAATCACATTACATAAATGATGCTTGATAAATGAAATAGGTATTGCCAATTCACTTGGAAACTCAACATATTCATCAAGGCCCCCACAGGAAATCCTGGATAATCATAGGTCTGTTCTTTGTTCCTTTAGACTTTTAACCATAGATGTAGAACTGGATTGGATACCCATAACTACATAAGTATCCTTACAAACAACGTTTTATTGCTGGGTCTTACAAGTGCTTCACGAAACCTCTTTCTAAATTATTAACATCAATATTATTAGCAATCAAAGCTGGGCTTCAAAGTTATTGTGAAACTACCTATTCCAGAGGTGAGGTTAATCAGATGTGGACGCTAAAACATTCCAAAGATCTTTAAGAGTACATACAGTATAACTTTCATCTTGCAAAAATATATAAACATTCGATACTTTTACACTCTACACAAGTATTCCCCATTTCAAACTTAAAGACAAATTGAAAGATTTGGTCCTGCATTGTTTCATCATAAAGAATGGCCAACATAAATAAGAGTATCTTGTATTAGGGAGGGATAAATTGTACTTTTTCAAAAATCACTCTGATTAAAAAAATTCTCTGAAACTGACATTATCAAGTTGCTTGACTTCTTGATTGACAACATATTTGTTACGTTTGAAGGACGTGTTTTTCAACAAATATTCGGAATCCCATAGGAACCAATTAACTGTGCTCCTCTTCTTGTCGACTTCTTCCTTTCTTAGGAAGAAAGAAAAGAAGTTGGCAGTATCCTTCAACTTTACTTTCCGCTATATAGATGATGTTCTATCACTAAATAACGCAAAATTTGGTGACTATGTTGAACGCATCTATCCCATTGAACTTGAGATAAAGGATACAACAGATACAGTTACGTCTGCCTCATATCTTGATTTACATATAGAAATTGACAATGAGGGCCGGTTGAAAACAAAACTTTATGACAAAAGACATGATTTTAGCTTCCCAATTACGAACATTCCATTTCTATATAGCCACATTCCAGAAGTGCCTGCATACGGAGGATATATCTCCCAGTTGACACAATATACCGGATTTAAACTAACATGAGCAACACGACGGGTCTCACATGTGAAGCAGGATCTGCTTACCGTTCCGGAACACTTGAGATCACCCGATGTTTTGGTGGGGTTCGTTTACTATGTTATGTTTTGTATACTGTTGTTTGTTTGTTTTTCCTTTTTCAGCCATGGCGTTGTCAGTTTATTTTTGACTTTGAATGAGTTGAATGCCCCTTTAGTAACTTTTGCTTCTCTTTTCTGTCAGCTCAGAGGATACCTGAAAATTTTAAACAAAACCAAAAACAGCAAAGCAGCACATCATATCCGTACCCGTATCCTCCCATTTTCCTGAACCCTTACCTGTACATGTTAGCCAATATACACCGCCCGTTGCGGATAGTAGTATTCTTAGTCTTACTAGACATTTGCAGAAACTAAGTCTATACCTAGGATTACACTCTATAATAAATGCACAAAACAATTAACCCAGAACCATGAAGTCATTTTACCTGAGTCGTTGAAGGCGAAAGCAGGTCTAGTAACAGCTCGATCGTCCGTCCGTCTTTTTACCGTCCGAACGACCTTGCATACAAAACTTTTCTCAATGTTTTCCTGGCTTGTACCGAAGTGAATGATTTTATATTTGGTGTGCAACTCAATAATTATGAATTGCAACCTGTAAGCAATTTTAACATCTGCCGTGCGACAATTCCTGTTGCCGATAGTTTGAAATTTGACTAGACTCTTTGCACAAAATAATATTTTGTCTTGTTGAAAGGAATGATTTGATATTTGATCTGCAGCTAAATAGTTTTGAGTTGCAGCGTGTAAGTAATTTTTACATCAACCCATGAAGTCACTTCCTGTTTTCCGATAGTTTGAAATTTTACAACACTCATTATTTAAGGAATATTCTCGTCAAAAATTGTCTTTTGTCGCAGTGTGCTTCGTATGAATAACAAATACAAACCGAGGCCGATAATTTTAAACAGCGAGCGGTAGTGAGGTCATCCGCTTAAAAACGGTCTCATCGTGCAGTATACGGAAGATTTACGGAAACGCTAAACGGACACAACTGTTCCCATTTCAAAGAGAAGCTCGTACCCAACAAGCTAAAGCAGTGATGTTTAGAGACAAACTGTACATAAATAACGAGTTTTTCGATCCGGAAAAGCGCAAGCAATATATAACTAAAATGAAAACTCAAAAACGGTGTGAAAAGAACGATGTAGATCTCTGTACTGACAAGACGACTCATCAAACTGACGAGAAGCAGGTGACTACCAAAGAAGACTAGGATAGCGTTGCAGTTTCTGTGTCTGATTCTATAAACTGTGACAACTTAAAAGTAATTGTTTGGAATGTGAATGGTGGTATTCAAAGTAAACTTCAAAGTGAATAACATTGCATTTTTGAATTAAATTTGCACATATGATATAGTTTTTCTTATATAATGTTGATTTAACAATCATTTTTGCATTACTGGTTATAATTGTTTTTGTATGCTACAAGAAACTCTACATCTACTCAAGGACGACGTATTGTAATTTTAATGAAAGACTGTTTTTCTTTCTGATAAAATTTCTATTGAAATATGTATTAATAATTACATTATATGGTTGAATAACGAAAACGTATTTATCGCCTGTGTTCATATACCCGCTGTTAGATAGAATTTTTATATATAACTTAATAATTGCGATTTATTTGTTGATTTAGAAAATAGTTTTGAAGTCTACTCTTCTCTTGGTGATGTAATACTTTGGGCGATACAAACAGTCAAACTGGGGCAATAGATGATTTTTTTGAGTAATGATAGTATTTATATTACTGTGTAACGAACAAAATTCCAAAGGGTTTCCGTATGGTGAAATCGGAAAGAATCTGTCGCAGGATAAATTTAAATGGAGTGATCAATTATAAGAACAACGTAGAGAATGTTTACGTATCAATATGGTTAAGATAAATTTGTATCGTCAACGGATTGATTTTGACGATCAGCAATTACACGACAATTCGTTGTCCGGTTTCACTAGTACGTTAAACGACAAAATGGCACCATTTTTTTAAAAAGAGGAATTATTTTTATAAATCTTGTAGATCTGACATTTTTTATGATAAACATTCGTTTAACGCTCAGTGTAAAGACCTTTATCGACGCTATATAAACTGTTTGAACATATTTAATAGATCAAAATCGCAATTAAAACATAGTAATTTTATCAAAATAAAACATTAGAACGTCGCTTGAAACGTGAATACATGCGCTTTGACGAACACATAATGAACATGATGAGAATTACAAAACCAAAATTATTTTACAAGAAATTTAAAAGGAAGTCGTTTTCTTAACATGCCGTACCATTAAACTTGTTCCATGAACATTTTAAGTCATTGCAATCATCAGACACAGATGCTGTATTTGAGGACAGCTTGTTTAATATCACTAATGGTGAATGCGTCTATGAGGATCATGAAAGAAACAGACACAGATGCTGTATTTGAGGACAGCTTGTTTAATATCACTAATGGTGAATGCGTCTATGAGGATCATGAAAGAAAAATTACAGAAAATGACATTTTAAAAGCTATTCGTAACCTGAAACGAGATAAATGGAGTTGGTGGAATTCTTTGCGAATATTTTATTTAATACAAGGATTTGTTTATGTCTGTATTACCGTATATTTTTCAAAGAATTTTACAGTCCGGAAATTTGGCTACCAGCATACACATGTTTAACCCCGCCACATATTATTATGAACCTGCCCCCAAAGTCAAGAGCCTGTAATTAAGTGGTTGTCGCTTGTTCCTTGTTGTTGTGTATCATAATTGTTTTTCGATCATTGTTTTGTACTTAAATCAGGCGTGAGTATCTCGTTTGAATTGTTTTACATTTTTCATTTTGACGTTTAGTCGAAAAAGGACATCTACAATACCATGTTCAAAATAACGACCAGAAACCAAAACAAATTCAAGCAGACATGTCAACGAACTAGATTATATAGTACATTTGGTGATTTGTTTTCTTCAGCAGCGGAACCCAAGATACTGATAATAGAAAAAAAATGCTACATTTATTTGTACGCACGCCACTTTTATCTCGAATAATATCATAAATTTGCACCAAATCAGATTTAACATGCGAATATACAGAAATATCTCAAATCATCGAAAACCTTAACGACAAAAAAATCAACAAAAATAGTCTTATTACAGCAACAAAAATACTGTATATAATAAATAGATATATACATGAATAATGTTGGTATCAACTATCACCTATCAACGTACCATGTCAGGCATTGTGAAAAGGTGTTTCTCAGTCGAAAACGTTTTTTTTTTTTTGTATTTCCATATCTGTCTATTTATTGTTATATTTCAATTCCTATGATTAACCAGTAAGGTTGCTTGTGTCTGACAAAACGCAACTCTTTATTTTTGCAGTTTGCAGCTGATAAGAAACCACTATGGCAAACAATCAGCAAAATACTCATATCAACAGAAGTTTCAATACAGAAATTGCTGACTCCGACTGTATTGAAGTGTTTGCAACAGATGACACGTACGAAAAATTATCTTCAGTTTATAAAGAAGATCCTTACCATTACGATCACATTAGATCACATACAATTAAGCCAAGACCATCAGAAAATTGTTATCGCCAAAAGATTCAAATCTCATTGTGGTTGTTATTTCTTATCATTATTTGCATTTTGATCGCATTAGTTGTAACAGGTGTCGTCACATTCTTCATCACAAAGGAGAGATTTTCTGTTACACAGTGTAAGTATGCATAAAGGCAACAGTAGTTTACCGCTATTCAATAGTCACAATTCTATTAAGCAAAAACAACGGAACAACAGAAACACTGACCTACACCAAAGCAAACGCCAACATACATAGAAACGGACTATAGATAAAAAATGACATATTCCTGACTTGGTACAGGACATTTAAGAACAAATTGTGGGTTGAACCTGGTTTAACGGTTAGTCAAACAGAGTACAAACAAACGCAAGAACACGACCATTCAGCACACAAAAATACATATATAAATAATATTATAGTACATTACAACATGTGAACCGCAGAATAACAATATATATGTGTTCTTATTTTAAATTTATTTCGGAGATGGTGAATTATCTTTGGATATACAATTATAAATACGAATAAAAGAAGAAAGGATGATACCAATTTTAATTTGCAAGAAAATAGTTTTAGAAAAAAACTTTAATTTGGGTATTTTCGAGACGAAATCAAAACATAAATAACATTATTTGAATTACCAAACAATGTATAGATACGAAATTAATGTTATTTTTATAAGACCAAGAAAAATGTCATATTCATATGAAAACGTGTTTGGAAAATCTCAATACAATAAACACAATAATGGAGCGACACATCTACTAAGACGTTATATACATGATGTATTCATGTGAAAAACATATAATTAATCTGTAAGGGATGAGACTATATTTCAATTTAAGATATAGCTGATGTGTTGTATCTTTTTACCTAAACTTATCAAACTTTTATTAGGGAGTCAGTGTGAATGGTTTTCACAAACAAATTAGATGAGATTTTTTTCTAGAATATAGTAAACATTGAATTTCAGATACGATTGAAAGGTACCAATATACCCATCCAAACGTTCTTTTCATGGTTATTAACATTTTTTATCGTTGAATTATTACCAGTGCGAAAACAAAATCCATTGAAACCCTGACCATATTAATATAACCCTAGATTGACATAGTAAATGCACAGGCGTTTCTTACAAAACAACATTGAAGCATGGTCATGAAGGTAGAACGACAACTTTGACGAATTCGACTTCAAAAAGATATTATATAAAATTTTAGCCAGATATTTAAGGACCACGATAAATGTAGGCGTAACATGAGTTTAATGGCCTGAAAGAACTTAAATTGGTTACAGAGTTGTAAAATCTTTACTTGATCATGCGTAGAGAGTTATCTATCACATAACTTTTCAATTTAAAACTTAATAAACATGATTAAAAAATGAGATTGAGAGTTTGCAGTAGCAGTCGTATTAATGATTTAACCACTGTTGTTATTCAATAGAATAAGCGTTGTACATAAGTTTTATACAGAAAAAGAATTCACTGATAATAGACATGGTCATACGAGAGCTTCAATACAGGGAAACGACAGCAGTGTTTTTTTTTTTCTCATAACTCTGTTTGAACAGTTATCTGTAAGGAGCACGTTAATGGAGTCGTTGTAGTGTCAACATACCCATGTGTAACGTATTAATTGAAAAAGTTTGTAAAAGTTTGTAATCAATGTGAAATGATTATCAATTTCCATAGCTTTTGCAACAAAAATGTACTTTTTTATATTTTGATCAATAACGGAAATATTTTGGGCTTTTTGAAATATTGAATTGAGCTTTGATAATGTTATGGATAACAGTTTATTTCGAATACAGTGAATTCCCAACATAGGATACCAAACCATTCATATGATCGGTGTGAATTGCAAATGGTGTATATTTGCGATGACCGTGACAGCGTCAAACAGAGGTTCTGAATTATTATAATTGTCGAATATAATTTTACTTGGGACTAGACAACAAAGTAAAGCGATTCTCTTTCTACTATTTGACATGCAATTACAGTTTCGGGCTTGTAGATAACTCGTGGATTATACCATCCACCAACTGTGATTCTGATCCGGTGTAAGTCAGTTGAACAAATGTGTCTAGTGGAGTCGAATACGACGAGTCGTAATGATCTATATATTCTGAATTTCGATTGTATGTGAGACACAAGAGAAGGTCACTCAGAGAGACAGTTTTTGATATACATATAAAGCTAAATTTGACATTCGGCTTGATTGAACTAGTGGTATACGGCGATTGTTGCCGTTGGTATTGCAACAGCATAAACTCCACGACATGAGACGTTAAGACGATCAATTTTAGTACAAAAATATCTGTGTTTCTTTCGATATATAGTGAAGGACTTACATAACATTTTCCTGAAACTTTATATATTCAAATAAAAATGAATTTTATAGAAATACTAGTATTTCCTAGTATACATCAACGACTGTGTAACAACCCCAAAATAAGTCGACAAGAACAGGCACCATCTCATGAAGGAAAGCTACCTATTTTATTGAGCTTAGTTTATCAAGTTTTGTTGGTCAGTATCCAAAGTTTTTGTTGTGTTAATTGCAAAACAAAAAAAATATGTTGAGTGATATGTGTGCATCTGTAGTTTTCATAAATTACATACTCCTTGTTGTGCAGAATAAAATGATTTTACAAATTTTAAAGACCTTTATTTGTTTGAAGATTTATGCATATTAATGCATATTTAATTGTGTATTGAACCCGCGCACATCTTCACAATGCATCGGACTATTTACACACTTATTTAAATCTAAGGAGACAAGCAAATTGTACGGTTATTAAAAAGATCTTCACAATAACAAGCCCATTTATTACCTACTATCATTACGTGACAATTAGATACTCCTGGTCGACAAACGATTTATATATCATTGTGGTTGTTTTTTCTTATCATTGTTCGTATTTTGGTCGCATTAGTTGTAACAGGTGTTATCACATCCTTCATCACAAGAAAATTTTTCTTTTTTTTTTGGATATGTTGGATTGTGTGGATGATATTTTGACATTTAATTATAAATACGAATTAATGTACAAGGATGATACCGATTCCAATTCGCAAGAAAAAAGTTTGTGAAAAATTATAATTGGGTATTTTCAATACGAAATACAAACATGTTATATTATTTGAATTACCAAACAATGTCCTAAAACGATATCAATGAAACTTTTATTTTTCTTATTAGAATAATAACGAAGTTATAAAATCCTTACCTGACCATGCGTAGGGACACCATGACATAAAGGAGATTATGAGTGTGTGGTAGCAGTCATATTAATGATTTAATTAATGTTGTTATTCAAACATAAGAAAAGCATTGGGCATTAGTTTTTATAGTAGACGAATTCACTGATAACACATCTGGTCATACGAGAGCCACAATTCAGGGAAACAACAGCAGTTTTTCCTCAGAACTTCGTTGGGACAGTTATCTGTAAAGAACTTGCCCCTGTTAGTGGAGTCTATATAGTTTCAACATACCCATATGTAGCGTATAAATTGATATTGGTAAAAGCCATCGAATTGGCAGAGGGTTTTTCACTACCTATACATGAAAAGTAGTTAACAAGGTCCAAAGCTTTTACAACCAATCTGTACTTTTTGATATTTTGATCAATACCGAACATGACTTTGCTCTTTTGAAATATTGAATTGCACTTTGAAAATGTTATTGAAAACAGTTTATATCGAATACAGTGATATACCAAAGATTTTTAACAGAAGATAACACACCATATACAGGCTCGTTGTGAGCTGCAAGTGGTGTATGTTTGCGTTGCCGTGACTTCTATTGCGTCAAACATAAGTGCTGAATATTTCTAATTTTCGAATATCACTTCACTTGTGAATAGACAAATAAGTAAAGACATTCTTTTTCTACTATTTGACATGCAATTACGGTTAAGGGCTTGTTAATTGCTCACGTATTTTACCATCCACCAACAATGATTCCGATCCGGTGTATTTCATTTGAACAATGTGTCTAGTGAAGTCGAATACGACGAAGCGCATCGATCAGTACACTTTTAATTGCGACCTTCTGTTAGTCACAAAAGAGGCTCACTCATAGAGGCGGATCAACAACTTTTTTAAATATATACATTTAAAGCTACATTTGACATTTGGCTTGATTGAACTAGTGATATAGATTGGTTGTTGCATTCGGTCGGTTTTACCATTGGTATCGAAACAACATACACTCTTAGACACGATTAAAATTCAATACAAAAACGCTTTGAGTTTCTTTCCATTTATAATAAAGGATTTACATAACATTTTTCTTAAACGTAATATATACAAATAAAAATGTATTGTAGAGAGATACTAGTACCATCTCCAACCTACTATACGTCATTGGCTGTGTTACTATCCCATTATAAGCCAACAAGAATAGGTACCTTCCCATAAAAGAAAGAGAACTATTGCATTGAGATTAGTTAGTAAAGTATTGTTAGTCGGTGCCCACAGTCATTTCTGTATTGCCGTTGATATTGCAATAACTTGTGTTCGAAACCCGCTGATAATATGATAAACATTTGTAGTAGCAAAAATGCAGTCCCAACACTGTTCATTTCAAGACAAATTAGTATGCTGAGTGATGTGTGTGCATCCGTATTTTTCAGAAATATTAAACATTCTTCTTGTTGTGTAAATATTTTAGGATTTATACATATTAATGCCTATTTATCATGTTTACTAAATATTTGAAGGAAAACCAACATACGTATACTTAGCGGTTCGATTTAAATGAATAAAAGATAACCCAAAAATTCATTGAAATTACTCTTAATACTTCCAAAAAATCTAGATTACCTTTATTAAAGACAAATTGTAAAACAAACTATCAACATCTCACAATTAAAAAAAACACTAAGTAAGTTTAAATTTTGACAATGTTTTGTCATTGATACATTTGGACAGTACAACTATATATCAACCAGTCAACTAATTCGCATTCGTTGACAATGTCTCGTCGATGTCCAAGATGAAAACATTGAAAGGCAAACAGCATATGTTTTTTTTCTTCCCAAATGGTTACTGGGCTACCTGACGCAAAATGTGATACATTCAGCGAAATTTTCAAATTATGTTCAATTAATGGCGCTTCTTTTGTCATTTAAAACAAACAGCAGCAGATATTTTATCAAAAGGGGGATAGTTTGGGTTTTTGTGTTCCTTCACTTCAAATCACGCAATGAACAAATTACAAAAAGCATGCAATTTTATATCAAATGCGGGAAAGGCGCATACGCAATTATCTAAGTAAAAGTAAGACGTTCATGTTATTGAAAATTTAAGAAAGTAAACTTTTGTTTAACATACGATACGCTCAATTTATCAAATTGATTTCAAGCTTAATGATTAAATATCATTACTTTTGTATCAAACTCGCGCACAAATATATGTATTGATTTAAACATAAGTAGATGTGGTTTTATTACCAATGACACAACTATCCAAACGAGACCAACAGACAGGAATATAAGCACATATGTATGTCACCGTACAGAACAACCTATTCCGAATAGAAAGCTATGAAAAAATGTTAAACAATTTAAACGGTTCTGTGCTCTGTTTAAACATTAAAAAAGCAGAATGACAGACAGGTACAAAAGAGAAGCACGTATTTACAGGCTCTTGAATTTAGACAGAACAATAATGAATGTTGTGGGAATAAACATATAAGCGAGCGCTCAATCCACCCTCATTCTGGGACAGTGATGTCACAGGCCATTATAACAATATGTAAAAATCATTGGAAAAGGGGTGCCTCATTAGATCGGCACGAAGCACAAAAACAACTAACAAAATACAACAGATACAAATAATGATCAGATATTACTCATGGATACTGAATTCCAGTTCAAAGCCAATGGTAACTAATAAATAGATAATACCACATCAGTAACGTTTACCCCGGTACATTTATTGACTTTGAGTATATACTTTTATCCGATTATTGGCTTGAAATAAACTTTTAATTTACTGTGAAAGTACTTATATTGGTGGGGCACCAATTTTTGTGGTTTTTCTGGATAACTTTATTTAAAAATTTCCAATTTTTAAGTGTCGAATGAAATATAACAGCTGTTGTCCAAATCAAGACGTAGAAAGATCCCCATGTAGGTTTGATTACATGGATGCGGGCATATAAATTCGAGAATATATCGAATATTAGCAAACGCAATATGAACTAAATATACAATTTCAGATAGGATTTTATCCATTTAATCTTTAAATAACATAAATTGTACAATTTTAAACCTTTTAATTCTCGTGATATGCGAATTCATTTTATCTCCTTACAATTCGCATACGAAAAAAATGATGATATCATATTGAACTTGCTTTTTTATTTCATAAGAATTAATTTAACAATTCAAAGTACATATGTAACATTTTTTTTATGTAACCGTTTTCTGTAAGTGACATGCTTATGGCCCCAATTAAGACCTTTGATGACCGTAATTCTGTTGATCATTCGATCTGGGGTTAATTAGTGTCATTACTTCTGATTACACGTGTGCATCAATTGAAATGTTGACTTTGCAATTTCCTTCAATCGAGGCAATTTGTGAGCATAGATAAATCAACGTATTTCCGAAAGCAATTATTTTATCTAAAATTTGATGACTGTTGACAGTGAAAATAAAACACCTTATTTTGCAATGTTCCATAAATGATTATAAAACAACATATGATGATTTTCATGATTTTTCGTTTTTTGATGGCTTCAAATTCATTACTCACATTTTCAGAAAATCCACGATTTTAGGACCCCACGAACATGTAATCTTTGCTCAAAACACGAACATTGATACCAACGGATAAAGTACTTTCACAGTATTAAATTTTTTTTTTCGTGTTTATTGGAAGGGGGTTATCATGGCATTCCGTCTGCGGTAACTTTACTTCTATTTATAGCGAATCAGATCTCTTTGGAGATAGGTTCCTAATAAGTTGTTTGGCAGATATTGTAATACATTGATGTAGGTCTTTGTATGGTATATGAATAGACGACGGCATTGTGAACATAAAAATTTTTAATGTTATCTGATGCAGAAAATAATATCTAATTAGTTTTATCGTTATGTCATTTGGAAACATAGAATATCTTCAACTTCGACAATTAATTTGTCCTCTTTATTGTTCAATTTCTTTTAATGCAATATTAATGCTTCATTTACCTTTCAGGTGAGTCAAAAAATGAATGCTATTGGACGGCCTGGAGTTCCTGGTCTGGATGTAGTATTACCTGTGGAAAAGGCGATCAAGTCAGGGTCAGACAGCATATGAATTCATCGATGCTTTGTAACTACAATGAAACTTTCAACCTCCGAACCTGTACTTCAGATCCATGCTTTGGTAATAACGTTTCATCATAGCTTAATAATGATAAGTATGACATTATTAAAACCCCTAAATACATACTCTGAGTAGACGAAAATGTGCAACAAGAAATATTTTAAAGTGTAGAAGAGCTCGATTTTAAAATGCTTATCGTTCATGAATTTTGACCTGTCGCAGAGAATGTTACACTAAACAAACAGGTGAATTGTATTTGATATTGTACACTGATGTGGACAATCAAGATGACACAATGTTCACCAGATGATATGTCCATCAGCAGTTAATTTTCATCAATACATTTTTATCTGATGAAATATTTTAAAGGTTCAAAATGAATTTTGCTTATTTTATTTTATTTTCATATTTTTCGCATCCAAATCAATAAAATGTAAATTACACCCTATCTATATAAATTTGTCGATAACACAAATTTATAAGATTTTGAGTTATCTCCCCCATAAAACATGTAAGTTGTACAATTATGGCATTGTCAGATTGTTTTCGATTTATGAGTTTGAATATGCCTTTGGTATTTTTTTTTTCAGTTAAATGAAGAGCTCAAATTTATATAATGCTCAGCTAGTGAAGTAAAAAATATACACCTTTAATCTTATTACAGAAGATAACGATTAAAAAGTTGAAAACAACACGTTTAATAATTGCATGCGTCCGAAGCGCTTTTCTGGATTTACCTTCATCAGGAACGCTCAAAGCTAAACATTTGAAATCCGAAGGATGTATACTGACTTGATGATGTTGTTCTAGTCGAGTCAAACCAATGACTTTATAATGTGAAACAGTACAATCGAGAAAACAAACGGCTTAATTTATGACAATGCAATTAACGAGAAACAAATGTGACTGACATGAACCAACGACAACCAGTGAACTAAACGATCCTGACTTGGGACAGGCACATACAAAATATGGCGAGGTTGAAAATGCTCGTGAGCGCTAAACCTTCCCCAGGCTGGGACTTGGGTAAAACAACACAACAGAAGAACAAACTGTAAAAATCAATTGCAAATGGATTGAACTAAATAAATCGGTACGAAGCGCACATTAAGTATAAGTCGGTACACATTAAACTGATTTAATTTAAAGACATTATAAACAGTCAGAGAAACGCATGACTTTGCGCAAGGCCAAAATATAAGTGAAATGTTCAAGCATGGCAATATATATTTAGGTTTTAAATTCTAAATTTCATAGAAAAATCAATGTTAACATGATTAAACAATACCTAAAGATTTAACTATGGTGTTAAATTGATACCCTTCAACGATAAGGTTTTTCAGTCGTTCAGCGAGTACAGATAGATTGTTTTAAAATTTATAGGCTCTTCAAATAACATCACCGTAAAAAATCAAATCTGATATTCCGTCTTTTTGCATGTATAACTAATTTTCCCTAAAATATCTTGGTAGATTTGTGGTAACGAAATACCTGACTTCATAACTTACAAGTTAAACATAAATTGCGTGCGTTTAAATTTAAAAAGTATACGTATACACAGCTTTTGAAATATATCTACAAACTTTGAATGCATTGAAAACTTTTTATCAATTTACATGTAATTTTAAACTCAACTGTCAGAAACGTTTTAACAGGCTCTGTAAAAAGTATAAATCTTATTATTAAAACTTAGTATTATTTTTACTTTATTCTAGATTGGACTTTTGTAAATTGTAAAAATCTGATTAATCGACATTTCACTCAACGAAGTAGTGAAAAGTGTTTTTACCAGTAAGCTCTAGCTAAGGTTGCACAGTTGTATTAAATTTAATACAAAACATCAAAATGTTGTTTTAAGCTAGCAAAAAACAAGACGTTCGTTTTCTATTTGTTAATGATGATTTATTTTTTGTCCCTTTCTGATCAATAACATTCTGGCCTTCTTGAGGTAACAATGTTCCAACATCTACGTCTGATTTGAATTGTTTTGAAAATTCTGGAGTTGAAAAAGATTGAGCAAATATAGCTTTGATCGTATTGAAAGTTAGTTGACATTGCCTACAGCACAACCAATCTCATAAACACGGTAAAACAACAGGAAAAGTTTAAAGCAGCATGGCTAAGTACTTGATTTAGAACAGAAATCGATTGATTCCGAAGTGTATTTTTCCAAAATATTGCACACAATAAATATCCATCGTACTCAAATAAACATTCTACTAGAGGTATCCTCTTTAATTAGCGTTTTTAACATCAAATATAAATATGGTTGATAATTATTTAACAACATGTAACTGGCAACATTCACAATATGTATATCATCTATGTGGTTATATGTTTCCGATAATGTAAATATCATTCAAGACCGAGTGGTTAAGAAACTAACACCGTAATTTATATACCTCCTCTCAAGTAGTTTGTCGAGTGGTCTAGGGCTTCTGACACAGTATGTACAGGCGGTGTTGCCACGATGTATCAGATACAGGGGTTCGAATTACGCTGAGGAAAAAACATTTTGCTAAAGCAAATCTAACATTGTTAGGCCAAATTTGAGACGAAGTATATACAAATTATGGTGTTGGCCCTGTATAACCACAGATTATTCGATGGAAAATGTGTCGTATAGTTGTCACATTTCGAGACGTATATAATGAAATCAAAATTTGATTTGACGGCATGGATAATAAAATTATCATCCTTTACGACGAATAAAACAGCTGACCTGCAACGCATACCATTCACATGCCACTGTACATCATCTACTGTGTTACAACCCTTGACAAAGCCGACGAGGAAATGCATTAATCGACTAACGAAAGCTATATTTTCATATAGTCTAGTTGGTCGAGTGGTCTAGGGCACTGGACACAGTTCAGGCAGTGTTGCCATATTGTAAGGGTGGAAAAAACTTAAAACAAATAGCACAAATTCAGGTTTAAGGCCCTTATCTGGTAATTTGTGATTTATTTTGCTTCAAAGATTAAAATGTGGCTACCTGCATTTCAAGTTATCAGATAATAAAGAAAAATCAAATGTATTCTGATTTTTTGCTTTCACCGCTTTTCGCTTTAAAGGTGTCCCCCAATTCAAAACCCCTATATAATCAACCACATGTTTCACCACCGTTCGAGAGTCAAGTGCTATTCAAAATAACCACTTTTTTTCTGGAAATCTGAAAGTACATACTATAGGGCGCATAACCCTCAATTTTTAATGAAAATATTGGACAAGTAATTGTTTGCTCAAGATGGTCTATATGTATATTTTTCTTTCACCAAGAGTTTATTTTTGAGAACTTGTTTGATAGTTTAAGTAAACACTGACCTCAAAAGCACTATTTTTGTCAGGAAAATGCTACTTTTACATGTGTGACTTGGTGGTCTGACACCTCTAAGTCGTGTCATACTAAGCATTTTGCTGTCGCATTTCAACATACTATACTTTTAACTTTGCATCGTGCAGTTTTAAGCCAACGTATCGTAAATTAAGCCTACTATGACATTACGTTCTGATTATATATTTTCGTGCTATCTTAGCTGAACAGCATGTACTTTCAACTGTATATCATATGTAAAAATAAGTAGATGTGGTATGATTGCCAATGAGACAACTATCCACCAAAGGTCAAAATATGTGGATGTAAGCAATTATAGGCAACCGTAAGGCCTTCATCAATGAGAAAAACCGATACCGTAAGGTCGGCTATAAAAGACCCCGACATGAAAATATGAAACAATTCAATTGAGAAAACGAACAGACTAATTTATAACAAAACAGTTTACGAAAAACAAATATGACAAACATGAACCAACGACAACCACTGACAACCATGTTGTTTTAAATTTAATCAATTTTATGATTAGTACAATTTGATATTTTTAATGATACATTATCGCGTTATCTTAGTTTAATATCACGTTCTTTATAAATAAAGCATCAAATCATACCTGTGTGGCAAGCCAAATGGCATCGTGACAATATAATGATCTAACATCGTGTTCTAAAACGTACATCCTGAAGTTTCTAGTCAAAATATATATTGTGCGATGAACCTAGTGAATATTATACCAATATAACTTCATCACACATTATATTGGCATTTTATGATTTAAAACTAGCAGTTTGATGATTCAGTTCCTCATCAAGCAGTCTTATGTCTACATTAAAATCTTGAGCATAACGTTTTGAAAGTCTTTAATTTGTGACAGCTGAGGCTTTCCATATCAATTGATTGACATCTCGAATACCAAATATATTGACTTTATATCTATATTTATTTCAGGTGATGATGATATATTAGACATGAGATTTAGTCGAACTGCATTATATAAATACTGGTTTATTTCAGCTGATAATACAATCATTAGTAACGTCCATATCATCGAAACTTCCAGTAGTGCTGATGCACAGTTACAGAATTATATGGGAACAATTTCGGACATTTGTGTAGGAGACAATGAATTAATTTTCTTTGAAGTAGACTATACATACACAATAGTCAAATCATTAACTGCTGACATTTTGGTTCTAGAGATAGGTTTGGCTGAACGTTCCAAGGTAGACAGAAACTACTCCGTTGCGTTAAAAAACGTGGGCGGATGGTCTTTCTTTGTTGCTAAAACAATAAATAGTGATAAAGTTAACTTGTATTCTCACCATGATGGTTCTTCGCGGCAAACATTGAAATCAATTAGTGATTTTACAGCTGGTACAAAAGTTCAAGGAAAATTTGAATTGTTCATTAACAGACGAAAAAATGAATTTTTGTTGAGACAAGATGATTCGATACTAGTATTCCATGTCTTGACGAATGTAATCTCAAGTGAGAAACTTTGTCCAGTATTTGGGGTGTACAATTATCAATGGGTTCATGTCAAATTGCAGTTAATGAATCCTCGGAACTATACGTATTACCCGTGGTAATGCAGTCATTATGTTTATGTCAATATTCAATGATGCTTTAATTTACATATTCAAAATCCTAAATGTTTCGACTTCTGTGAGGTGTTTTTGTTTTGTTTTTTTTTTAATTCTTTCGGTCATTATGATGGCTGTTTTTATTCAAGTGATGGTATTAAACGCCCAGTTCGTATATTTTTATGTTTAGGGTATGTTTACTATTGTAAATTACAATGCTTTATTTGCATAAACACAACTTAGCATAAAGCATTTATACCAATCTAGAAAGCGTTTTGTGTGTTTCAATTTTCAGATCATTTTAATAAAAAAATAGAAATGACTACATTGTACCTTTTTGAAATATAAACATGATATAAAACCCAATAACACAAACAAAATCATAAGAGAGTTATGTATGTCAGGCAGTCGTCATAATTGATATAAATGTCCTTGAAATACTCTCTGAATTAATGTCATAGTAATCTACACATTAACATATAATAAAAGAATACCATTGACGATGTATCTGAATGGTACAGTCACATAAACAAAGTATGGGTTCAAATTAGTACTAAACTAAACTTAAACTTTCAGTGTGTTACTCTTATGATTAATAAACTAATCACAGATAACAGGGTCAAAATTTTTAAATCCAGGCTCGCGTTTCGTTATTAAGGAATTTCAAAGTTTGGTAAACAATTAATTTTGAATTATTAATATACCCATACTAATTAATGTCAACATGTTCTGACTACTGAGCTGGTAGTACCCTCGGAGAGGAAACCTTCACCAGCATGGTTGTAAATAAACCCATCACAAATACTAGGATTAAAATGTTGGTCGCCAAACGAGCGTTCCTGTCGAAAATAAGACGTGTTGGTTGCCCCTTTCTGATATACCGAATATTAATTTGAGAAAAAATAAAATATAGTTAAAATTAAACAAACCAATCATTAATTTGTAATATATACATTAAGTCGCAAATTTCTTTTTGGTTTCATTAAAAGGATTAAAAATTTGCGAAAAACAAAATGTAACCACATCCACTCTCTCAAACTGAACCTATAGGACTGTCAACCAGTCTAACAGTTGGTTGACTGTGTTGAGATCAGATGTAATCTGTAACACATATGGTCTTTGGTTGAATACTTTTGCGAATCGTTTCGTGTTTGATTTTACAACTAATTTTATTTTAGTATTTTAGAGTTCCGTCGTCTATTTGAGTTTTACATTTTATGAAAAAAGGAATTGTGATTTTTGGCTTTAATATCAAATGTTTGCTATTGTACATTTTACCTTATTAAGATACTTGACATTTCATAATTTACCTCACAAGTCCAAAAAAACTCGTTTGCAGAAGCAGGTTACGACATGTATCCATCCACTCTCGCAACTCTGTCTTTGATTCGAGTTTAGACCTTGACTTCAGTCAAAAGAAATTTAGAGGGCAACAAAACAAAGGTGTCTATCAATGTGCCAATCTTTAAATCGCCCCGAGTCTAAATATAAGTTGTTAATAATTTAAACCAAAGACATCAACAATCTGCCATCATTACAAATTATTCAAATGGCTCAAAAACGAGTAATGATACAAAATAAACGATGACGAGGCCCCTGACTTGTGACAAGCACATACACATGTAGTTTGGTTGAACTAGGTTTAAGATATCATCCCTCCCCTTTAATTATATCGACAGAGTATAAGTTAACATATAAAGGGTACCATGCAGGAAATGCAAAAACTCGTAAAACCATTATAAAAGATACAAAAACTCAGTTACAATCACAGTGATAATAAAGACTTATAATTAAGTAACCCTGACACGTGTTTGGTCTACAGAAGACTCTTAGGTGCATGGTAAATGATTCAAACCAGTAAAAATTCCAACCTTATAGAGCCTTGTAAACAAAACAGATAATAAAAGGGGATAGCAAACTCTTCACAAAGTGATTTCATCAAGGGATTTTTGCGTTAGCAAAAAAGCGCACACCTATATGTTGATGAAACACTATGGTAAACAACGGTAATCAGTAGTGTCTGGTTTACATTTCAGTATACGCCAGACGCGACTGTTTTCAATATATATATCCTCAGCGGTATGCAAATCGAAACAGTTGAAAGCGAACTCAGATACGAAGTGCATTGTTAACCAAACATTAGATCGCGTCGTGTCAAAGGCTAAAAACGTTTTAGTCAAATATCAGAGGTAGATCTAGAAGTCGAAATTGTGATTTTATTACATATTCTTATATTCACATCCCTTATCTACCTTTTGAAAATCCTGAAGTTATGTTGGTTTTTTTTTATATATATATATATTTCTTCTTATCGATATATATTTAGTCATACGTGTAATTTCTTTGTAACTGTTGGACTGCGAGAAAATATATCATAGTATTCAATCAACTTTAGTCAAACGATGTCATCTATAAAACGGCATTCTCATAGTTTTAGGACACTATTGTATCAATGTACTACAATGTATAAAGTTGTGGACTACTGATTCAAAATAATGTTCATATTCTCAACGAGTAACTGCGGTGTAGAATTGAGTAAATAAATTGCATGCCAGTCGAGAGTTTTGTCTACTTTAAACTCGTCAGTGGCAATCGAATCTTCACGGATAGCATGCAAAATAATTAAAAATGTTGAACAGCATTGTAAATAAAATTCGAAAAAGTTGTGCAATATATATATATATATATATATATATATATATATAAGAAGATGTGGTATGATTGCCGATAAGACAACTCTCCAAAAGAGACCAAATGACACAGAAATTAACATCTATAGGTCACCGTACAGCCTTACCGCATAGTGAGTTACAAAAGGCCCCGAAATGACAAATGTAAAACAATTATGAACTGTAATTTTACATGAAATTTACCTCATCAATGATACATCATGACAGCACATGAGCACTGACTACTGCAGTGGTGGGGATATCATCTGGAACGATACGGTCGAATTAGTGAATTTACAAAAATCTTCACAGCTCTCAGGTTCATAATGATCAGACGGGCGTAATACTGGTCAGTGGCGGCGCTCTTATAAATTTAGTTTAGAAAAGATCGCTTATATCAAACCCACTGAAAATTGTACTAGCCAAAAACCTATGTAAAACATCCAATGAAATATCACCAACAAGAAAAGGATCAGTCGTTTCGTTTACTATTTTTCTTTTACTTTTGGTATGAAAATTACAATGTGAGATTGTAATATAAGGGTCTTAAAGAGGGGAACATTGAAGTTAGATGTAGTAGAAGGCAAGTGAGTGATTTTTACTAAATCGAGACTATGTACAAATAATATAATTATCGTCTAAATATCAGCAGGCTTGGCTAGAAGTATCTATGAAGTAGTTGTCTCGCTGTTTAGTCATTAATTGTGATTCATAACATTAAAGCAAAGAGATTAATCTGTATTAAGTGATGTATATTATTAGATAGTCTTTATACCAACCTCCTGACAGTAACCATTTTAACCGTTTTTATGTATGTCCTATTAGTGTACTTTTGTAGTTTGTATTACTGGAAGACGAAATGTAAGGGCTTCAGCAGTTAAAGTCACATCCAGATGTATCGAAAGACCTTTATATAAAATAGAACAAAATCTTGTTTAGTGAAATAAATGTAGATGAAGCATAACTGTTACTATACAACATGGACTGTAACATCACTAGATTAGTGTTAGGAGACATTTGATACTTTATCTCTCTACGAGTGCCACTTATTCTGGAGCAGGATCTGCGCAGGAGATTACCCCCGGTTTTCGCTGGTCTTCGTGTTGCTCAGTTTTTAATTATCAATGTAATGTTTTGTAGAATGTTATATTTTTATTTTCCTCGTTTTCAGGGTTTTTTTCGATGGCGTGGTCATGATCAGTGTCTCTTCGACATATGAATTTTGAATGTCCTTTTGGTATATTCCGCCTCTTTATAAGTAAAATGATCTTTCAGTAACTATTATTACAATATTTATCTTGGTGGTACAGGTAAAAATAACTTTTGGTGCACAAATAATAACATTAACGGTACAAATTCTACTGCACAGATGCGCATTTCAACAATTAATATCTCTTAATTAATTCGGTGGTGCTCGAGGCTAAAATACTCGAAATTCCAAAACCGGATACAAACACTAAAGAGACGATAAAACCAAAAAAGAACAAAGGTATTTAAAGCTAAAAACTCGGACAAGAAATCCGAGTTATGTGTGAGGGAGATGCATTCCTTAAATTAATATGATTTTATAAAGAGCAAATATCAATAATACAAAATCTGTATTTTTATAGTACCGAAGAATACTAGTGCCTTTGTATAATATATATATATTTATCCTCTGTCACTGTAAAGGAACCAAATGCACACATAAATGTATATCCAAATATTCATATGTATTAACACACTGTCTCTAGTTTTACGCCATTTAACATGAAAATCAATCTACCTGCCTTGTTAAATATACGATCCTTTGTTTTATTTATATTCACACTTATGTTAAATGGTGTAAAAGCCTATTTCAAGTTGTCTAAAGATTTTGCATTGATTTTCAGTCAAAATAAGTACGCATGAAAACTATCATACCATCATAACCCATCCTTTTATACAGTTGGGATATATGGGGTGCTTTTAACCTAATATCTGCTAAATTTAGAAATTGGACAAAAAGAATTTCATCAAAAATTAATCATAATTTAAAAGTTCGAATAAAAAGTTATACCGTTCATATGTATATGCTTATTCTCATTTATTTTGTTTTTGAACATGCTAAATAAATTATTGTTGAAATGTTTTCTCTGGCTTATTTCATATGTTGCTAGTCCTTTTTGAATAAAATAGTATATTCAGCATGTGGAAGCAAGTACCCAATGTGATTTTATTTTGCCAAAAAGGGACCGAAATCTTCATGTTTTCCTATAGACTAAAAAAATTGTATATTTACATTTGTCATCTTGCACTTCTTACAACATAACTGCATATACCTAAGGATACACTTTGTATCAACAGCTGTCAAATTCTTTTAAGATGTGGAGAAAAATCAGTTGTCTAAATTTAAAGGAGGTGTTATTAAGCAGAATCTTGCTAACTCTCCATATTTGACAAATCAGAATATTGACAAGTTGAATCAGAAGGTGTTACTCTAGTTTTACACCATTTAACATGAAAATCAATCTACCTGCCTTGTTAAATATACGATCCTTTGTTTTATTTATATTCACACTTATGTTAAATTGTGTAAAAGCCTATTTCAAGTTGTCTAAAGATTTTGCATTGATTTTCAGTCAAAATAAGTACGCATTAAAACTATCATACCATCATAACCCATC